ATGATGTCAACACTGTTAATGTGGCTCTTACCACTGATACCGAGTTTCTTGAAAAATATGGACATTTGGATAATGTTCGTGGACGCTTGTGCAATATTTGTGGCCAAACTTTTAGAACAAGATACAGCTGTCAACGCCATATTCGCCGTCTTCATACTACTATTGGAACGCCTAGTGTTACTTCTTGTGAAAATGATGCCCCAAAACCCGATAAAGAAGATGAAGGAAGCGTACCCGCGCTTGTGGAACAACCAAGCGGATGTTGATTATCTCTTGCACCCCGAAAAATAATCTTGTTGTATTAAAAAATTGTTGAATAAACTTTATTAATCAATTGTAGTTATATGTAGTTGAACAATAGTGGAACCATAATTGAAACTGATTGGTCGACCAAACTCATCCAAAATCTCAATACGTATAGCATCAATATTATCAGAAGAAACGGGGACATAACGTATGGGTGAGAAACTTCTTGAAATCATGCGGCCAAAATCATTTGGTGGAGGTGTGGGGATGCATGCTAAAAGACTTCCCTTTTCACTGCCAATGATAGAGTATTGAACAGCGTCACAATAAATGTACATTGAATGAAGGTTGTTGGCATAGTCTACAGGGTGTAGTGCAAGTGTTGACTCAGTTATTGGTTTATCTTCAAAGCCAAGGAAAAAGGCTAAACCCTTACTCAACACAACACGAGTAACAGCTTTGGATCGTATATCACATTCTATACGTTTCAGAATGGTATTGTAGGTGAAGACTACATCACGGGTGGCTTTTCGTTGAGCTAGTGGCTGATTCGTCATTTTCATAACATTGTCCAACATTTTTTCTCTAAATACCACTCCTGCTTCCAGCCCAGTGATAATTTCCTCGCCTGTAATGTAATTGCCCGAAGGTAAAGAATATACATGTTCATCTTCTTCATAATGAACAGTGTAATCTAAATGGGTTTGCACATTCTCAAATGAACACGGGTAAATTATATCGGCAAGTCCAATAGCATGTGCACCGCGACGTAGTTTTAGTGTCTCGGGAAGCCGAACGAGGAATGAAGATGATGTATTATTTTTATCAGATTTATCGCTCGATGGAAGCGTAATATATTGGCTCATGGTCAACCGCTCTGGACGGCTGTAATGAATAGACTAAAATCATTTCTACATTTATTCTCTTGACGTGCGGTTGGTAATGGGTTTTCAATTCAAACTACCCAGTCAGACCACTGTAATTGGTGCCACACAGTCTGGCAAAACTACATTGATTAAACACATTTGCGAGAATACTGAGAAATATTTTGCACAACCCATTGATAAAATTTTCTGGTTCAGCCAATGTGGCTCAAGTTCCGGCGTACCACTGTCTGATGGTAGACTTGTTGTTGTGGAAGGACCACCTGATGCAGAACTCATCAAGGATCAAAAGGGCAGAAACTCTATAGTTGTACTGGATGATTTGATGAACTATTTCTCATCATCCAAAGAAGCTAAACAGTTGCTAAACAACATATTCACCGTTTGGGCACATCATTGGAACTTGGCAGTGTTCAACTTGGTACAGGCTGCTTTTCAATTGGATCGAACAAGCAGAATCAATAGTACTTATTTGATATTGATGAAAAGTCATTCTGATGTTTTACAAATTCGAAATTGTCTCCAGCAATTATTTGGTACTCGTTTCAAAAGCGCCTTTGAGGCTTACACAGATGCCATGTCCAAACCATATAATCATTTATTGATTGACAACCACCCTTTGACAAATGATCGTCATCGCATATTGACTGATATCACTTCCGAGTATCCCATAGTATATATAGCTCGAAGTATCATTTAACTATCAAACTTGTTGATGAGCGGTCGTATATTGTTAAACTGTACATTTCTTAGAAATTGTTCTAGAAATTCGTCTTTAATTGCAAATTGTACCCTAGCTGAATTGGAAATTTTAACAGAAATTGTTTATAACGTTGTGACCAACAAAAATTTATTCTTAACTAATCCAGAATTTAAAACATTGAAACCTTGTGAAAAACATTTGAGATCAATAGCTCGTACCCGTAATCCAGCCGCAGTTCGAATTCTTTTTTCCAAACTCTCGCAGCGACGTATCAGATCTCTGATTGCTGCTGGTCTTGCTCATTTTAATTTAAAATTATGAAATTGAATCACAAGTTTCGTCTAGTACCTGTAGACGAGGAAACGCTAAATTTGAATAATTTTGAAGACGAATTGAAGGATTTACGTGATAACAATAAGATTCCCGATTATAAAAAGGCTGAATTGTACGAAGATTTGATTGCACGTCTACGTAATTATCGTGAAAGTATCAATACTCCTCCTCTTGTCCAAGTTGCTACCCCACCTTCATTTGTTGTGCCAGATTACAAACTCCCAAAGAGTTTTAGTGATTTATGGTCACGTCTGCCAGAGATTCGTACCTCAGACAAGGGTGAACTCGTAATAAACAATACAGTTACCCCAAACACTAATATCAATCAATTGTTGGACTACGCTTTGAATAAAACCAGCCAGAAGCCAAACGGTTACGAAGTCCTTGATCACTTTTTGAACAGTAAAGGGGTAAACTTGTCACGGATCCGTGCTCGTTTGCTGAAACCTAAAACGGAGCAAGTCGAATCAAAAATTGAGCAAGTGAAATTGGAGCCTGAGCAGAAGCCCGAGGCATTACATCAAGAGCCCAAAAGCCGAAAACGGCAGAAGACTGTAATTTTTACGCCAACAAAATCAACGACTGAGTCTGGTCGTAAAAAGATTGAACATCAAGAGACCAAGAGTCGCAGACGGAAGAAACCTGTAGTTTTTACACCCACCGATCATGAAGAAACGTACCACACGCCAAAAACGTCAAGAAAAACTCAAGGTGGTAGAGGAACCAAACGCTTCTACATTAGACTCTGGAG